TTTAAAGATTTTATTTATCCATTTGACAGCGAGAGATCACAGGTAGGCAGAGAGAAAGAGAGGGAAGCAGGCTCCCTGCCAAGCAGAAAGCCCTCTGCGGGACTCGATCCCAGGACCCCGAGATCATGACCTGAGCTGAAGGCAGCGGCTTAACCCACTGAGCCACTCAGGCACCATATTAAAGTATTTCTTAAAGTGATGTCTAATTTGTTCTTTTCTAGCTATTTAAAAAGAATACCTAGGGTACCTGGGTGGCTCAGTGGGTTAAGCCTCTGCCTTCAGCTCAGGTCATTATCTCAGAGTCCTGAGATCAACCCCCACATCGGGCTCTCTGCTCAGCAAGGAGCCTGCTTCCGCCTCTCTCTCTGCCTGCCTCTCTGTCTACTTGTGATCTCTCTGTCAAATAAATAAATAAAATCTTAAAAAAAAATAAAAGAAGAAAACCTAGATCATTGCTTAAAAATGTTTTTAAGTTAGGCATTTAAAGCTTCTGATTTTGTTCTAAGTGTTGATCTAGATATAGCTTACAAAATTTAATGTTTCATTATTATTTTGTTACAGTTTTTTTCTAATTTCTCACATTTATTTTTCAACTTATTTATTTATTTATTTATATTAACATGTAATGTATTATTTTTTTCAGGTGTACAGGTCTGTGATTCATCAGTCTTACACAATTCACAGCACTCACCATAGCGCATACACTCCCCAATACCCATCCCCCAGCCACCCCATTCCACTTTATACACAAAAGTGTATATAATTCCTTTTTTTTTTTTTTTAAGATTTTATTTATTTATTTGACAGAGAGGTCACAAGCAGGCCGAGAGGCAGGCAGATAGAGAGGGGGAAGCAGGATCCCTGCTGAGCAGAGAGCCCGATACGGGGCTCCATCCCAGGACCCTGAGATCATGACCTGAGCTGAAGGCAGAGGCTTAACCCACTGTGCCACCCAGGCACCCTTATAATTGCTTTTTAAATTTTATTTTGATCAGAGAATGTGCTCTGTAATACTTCAGCTCTATGAGATTTAAATTCTGACACAGCATATGATCTTTCTTGGTGAGCATTTAAAGGAAATACTATTCAGTAGTTATTGAATGTTATATTTTATTAATGTCAGTTAAGTGCAGGGTATTGATGGTATTATTTAGATCTATGTCAGTATAATCCTGATATTTTTGCTTCCTTTTAAATTTTTTGAAGATCGATTTATTTATTTTCTAGAAAGAGCATATAAGAGCATGGGGAGGGGCAAAAGGGAGAGGGAGAGAAAATCTCAAGCAGACTCCCTGCTCTGCGTGGAGCCTGATGTGGTGGGGCTTGATCTCATGACCCTGAGATCCCATGTGAGCCAAAATCCAGAGTCAGTCCCTCAACTCCCTGAGCCGCCCTGGCGCCCCTAGATATTTTTGTCTTCTATTTTATCATTTATTGAAACATTGTTAACATTTTCACCTTTGATCATCTTTTTTCCTTTAGTTCTTCATTTTAGTTTTTTATTTTGCTCATGTGTATTTATGATTTTTATGTTTTTCAGCTTAATCGAGATTTTTGGCATTATGAAATGGACCTCTGTATCTTTGGAGATATTTCTTTGTTTGGCTATTTACTTTGGTAATATTGTAGCTTCTCAAGTTTTCTTACACTTGCAATTTGCATAGTGTATCTTTGTCTCATCTTTTACTTTCAGTCTCTTTGTCTTTGTATTTAAAATTGTTTTTAGAGGTGAATATAGTTGGATGTTGCTTTTTTTTTTTTTTTTAATTTTAAAGATTTCTTTATTTAACAGAGAGAGAGGAAACACAAGCAGGGGGAGCTGGAGTGGGAGAAGCAGGCTTTCCGCTGAGCAGGGAGCCCGATGTGGGGCTTGATCCCAGGACCCCGGGATCCTGACCTGAGGTGAAGGCAGAGGCTTAACCCACTGAGCCACCCAGGTGCCCCTGGATGTTGCTTTTTAAATACAGTCTGACAAATTTTCCCTTTTGAGAATGTGGTCTATTTTCATAGGCCTTTGTGTGTTTTTGACTGTAGTGTACTGCTCTTTATTTTCTTTTTGTCTCATGTCTTCTTTCTCTTTTGTTTTAATTAGATGTTGTTTATTGTTTTTATATTTTGCCTTAGCTGTTTAGTTATTCCTATTCAGTTAAGTTTTTGTATTTGTCCTGCATATTAAAATAAACATTCTTTGCTTGACATTGGCCACTTAATATTGAACCACATCATTCCCCACAAATATAACAATCTTAAAATAATGCAATTCCATATACTTGCCCCATTTTTGTTGTCATAAATTTTACTTCCATTTTTTTGTTATTAATGACACTAAAAAGTTATTTGTGCTTTAATCAGTAATTTATCTTTTAAGGAAATGAATACCCATGCATTTTTTATTTCCAGTGCTCTTGATTTCTTTTCGAAGTTTCACATTTCCTCAATTTATAGGTTAATGTTTTTCACTGAATTTGGGACAGTTTGAACCATTATTTATTCAAAATTTTTTCTGTCCCATTCTCTTTATTCAATTTACTAGGACTTTAACCACTATTTAGTAGTTTTACAGTCCTGTTTTCTAATTCCACTATCAGGATTATTTTGGAGTGTGTTTCCTTTGACAGTTTGGTTTCCTGGCTGTGGACTTTCTAATTATTTGCATGTCTGGTAATTTTTAATTGTATGCTAGACATTAGGAGTCCAACATTGTTAAGAGTCTGGGTCTTTTGTCTTTTTAAGTATGTTCAGTTTTGTTATGGAATGGAGGGAGGTTAGCTGATGCTTTTCTTAATAGATCTAGGCTTGGTTTTAGGCTTTAGTTGAGCCGTGTATTGTAGTCTTTACTCTAGAGTATGGTCTTTACTCTTAAGAACTGGTCTTTGTGGTGTCTCAGCTGAATTCCTGGGATATTAATGAGTTTCCTCCACCATGACTATATATGAACTTAAATCTCTCCCAGCACTGTGCAGCTGTTAGTAAGTATGTTCATTATTCATTTAACCCCATAGTAGCCATTGTCTAATAGGTATTTCAGAATATTGCTACACATGTAGTCTAGCTTTCTGCCTACCACTCTTTATCCCCAGCACTGTACCACTGCCTCACCTTGTGTACCACATCCTACAAATTTCACTTGTTTCAGCAGTGACTGATCTGTAATCACTGTGTTGTACCTGTGTCTCACCTCCCTGTACCATGGTCAGAAAATTATCCCTCCCTCGAGAGCTTAGGTAAAGGTGGGACTCACCTTATGTGTTTGCTTTTTCTCGAAGAGCATAGACCATAGTGCCTGTTACTCAATACCTGAAAATGGGTGCTTTATAAATTTTATCCATTTGTGTAGTTATTTACAGCAGGATGGGCAGTTCAGTATCAGTTGTTCTGTTATATTTGGAAACAGAATAAACAGTGCATGTCTTTTACAGATACTGAAGAGATGCTTATAGTTTTATTTGCAAAATATGAGTATGGCAGAAATACTATGAAACAACTTAAACACATTGGGGGTTAGGATTAAAAGCCTATTTGGGGGATTGCTGGGAATTAATCGGAAGATACTATTTGTTTCAACTCTTGTTGCAATTGTATTATATAATAAGTTTCAGAAATACGAGTAAGGAGTCCTTGATATTCATCCAGGTTTCCTTATTAGTGACTATGTTTTGAAGTTACTTCTTTAATTACAGAGAATAGGAATCCACTTAAATTGTTCAAACAAAAGTAGGAGAATTGCTTAAGCTTGCAGAATTGAGGTATGTTAGATGGGTGAAATTCCCAGAGAAGATGAATGGGGAAGACTCCTCCAGAAGCCTTTTTTTGAGCTTTGAGTGTTTTCATGTATCTATTAGAAAATATAAAAACCAGTCTTCTCCACCTCCGCCAGTATTTCTTAACCTTGTGAAATTACTTTTTATTTTTTTTTAAGGCCTAGTTCAAATGTTACATAAGAATTGTTTCCCATGATGGGTGGCAAGAGTGTTCTTTGCATTACCATTTCTGAAGCCCATTTCCATATATAGTTATAAGTAATAGTAAATATTTATTATTTATTTATTAATAAATAGTATTTGAATTCTTTTTAAAAAGGTTTTATTTATTTACTTATTTGACACACACACAGAGAGATAGAGAGAACGAGCGCGAGCACACATAGGGGGAGCAGCAGGCAGAGGGAGAAGGAGAAGCAGGCTCCCTGCTGAGCAAGAAGCTCAATGTGGGTATCCCAGGACCCTGGGATCATGACCTGGGCTGGAAGGCAGATGCTTAAAGACTGAGCCACCCAGACTCCCGTATTTGAATTCTTTTTTTTTTTTTTTTTTTTTTTTTTTTTTTAAGATTTTATTATTTATTTGACAAAGTGAGATAGAGAGAGAGAGGGCACAAGAAGGTGGAGCAGCAGGCAGAGGGAGAGGTTGCAGGCTCCTTGCTGGGCAAGGAGCCTGATGTGGGGCTTGATCCCAGGGTACTGGGATCATGACCTGAACCAAAGGCATCCACTTAACCAACAGAGCCACCCAAGTGCCTTGTATAATTTCTAATAAATACTTGAATGAATGAAGTTCAAATGAGAATGTATATTTGAAAAGATTTTGAAAATGTATGTACGTGTATATGGACATGTGGAAGACAGTTTTACTAAAATCTTTTACTGATTTGCAAAATGTATTCTCTTTTTTTGCTTTTAAGTAGAAAATCTTATATTGACTTACAGGTAAAACTGAAATGGTTTTAAGTTGTAAGGTCTAGGTTAGTGAATGTATACTGGCTTATGAAATAGCAAATTTTTGAAGTATTTTTAATTTTTAATAAATTTCCTTTGTTTTTATCATCTCTTTGTTATTAAAGTATAGGAAGAGGCTAATGGTTACTCTAAGTCTACTGTGGTTTGATTTTAGTGGGAATCAACAAATAGCAATAATCCATTGCTTGAACTTATGTTTTTAATATCCCCAAAATATGTTTTTAAATTCTTCAGGTTAACTAATTTTCTTTTCTTAATATTCTAGCTCTCTATCAATATCAGCTTACATCACTGAAGAGATAATTTGAAGACATGTTTTGCTGAAAAGACAACTGAGAAAAATTTCACGAATGGGATGAACACGTTTCAGTTAACTGACTACCTGCTGCAATTTGAATGTTAACAGTTACCTACCTGGTACAGTTAACCTAGTGATGTACCTATTCTCACAATACCCTTTTTCATTGTGCTTGTCTTGATTAAAGAATTCAAAGTGGAGTACCGCAAACTTGATATGGATAATAAAAAGAAAGACAAGGACAAATCAGATGATAGAATGGCACGACCTAGTGGTCGGTCGGGACACAACACTCGAGGAACTGGGTCTTCATCCTCCGGAGTTTTAATGGTTGGACCTAACTTTAGAGTTGGAAAAAAAATTGGATGTGGCAATTTTGGAGAATTACGATTAGGTAAGACTATTTTGTTTATTCCATTATGCTGGAAGCTTTTTTTTTTTTTTTTTTTAAACTGAACGTACTTTCTAATGAAAATGATACAGTTATTGTTTAGTTGTTTAGTTGTTGTGATAATTTTAAAGAATATAAATGTTGGAAATTTCTTTTGTACTTGTGTTTTCATTTGTAAGGAGTTCCCTAGTATATGAACGTGTATTCATATATGTATATGTAGTATAGTCTATGGATAGTATGTGAATGTCTGTTTACTTGAGATCACCCATTTGGAATATGAGAAAAAAGAAAGTAAATTAAAAAGCCCCAACAAGGTGGGAGAAGAAAAAAGGACCCATAAGGAGCCATTTGCAGTGTATTAAGAATGGTATTTAGGCTTTTTTCATATTTGAAAACATGTAGTAACTGACCCCTTTAGGAGGGTATGTATGGCTTAAAGCCAAGGTAATATACTGAAACTGCATAAAAATCAGTGAAATTGGGGAGCCTGGGTGGTCCAGTTGGTTAAGCATCCAACTCTTGGTTTCTGCTCAGGTTATAATTTCAGGGTTGTGAGATTGAACCCCCATATTGGGCTCCACATCCATTGCGGAGTGTGCTTAAGACTCCCTGTCCCACTCCCACTGCCCTTCCACCCTTCTCTCTCAAATAAATAAACCTAAAAAAAAAAAATTCAGTGAAATTTACATTGTGATTCTGTCACCAACCCCTCTCTAACCATTTAACCAAGTATATTCCACGTTGGGGCTCTGAAATCTGGATTTTTTTTTTTTTTTAAGAGACCCAGTGGGAGTGATGGGGCTAGGGAGAGAGAGAATCTTAAGCAGGTACCATGCCTAGCTTGAAGCCCTAGGTAGGTCTTGATCACATGTCCCTGAGATTATGACCTATGCTGAAATCAGTGTCCAACACTTAACTCACTGAGCTACCCAGGCACCTCAAGAAATCTATATTCTTAACAAGGGACACAGAGTACTGATTCAGTTTGTTTTTGTAATCAGGGTGGTTTGGTAAACATTGGTCTAATTAAACTTCCTAACTCTACATTTAAGGCAGTTGAAATTCCATGAGGGAAGGTTGCCTGCCAGATGTCACACAGCATTTTAATGACAGACTCGGGACCAAAATCTAGGCTTTTAACTTCTAGTAAAGTAGAAATATGGCTATCCTGAATGAAGAGAAATAAGAACAGGGCAGCATGGTTATATGGCTGTCAGTACTGAGGTTGCTCGAGGGCTCTTTGATCACTGGCCCACCAAGAGTGAAAACTTGCCATGTAAAAAGGTAAAGCTTAGCTTTACAATTTTCCTTAGATACAACCCCACTTATTAGAAATAAATCAAATTGTATGTTTATCTACTCAATTACTTCTTTTCATCTTGTAAAACACCCTAATTTGTAGTTAGTCCTTCATTTTAATACTATTTTGTGTTGTTAATGTGCATTAAGTCTTTTCATGAAGCAAGCCAATAAAAGGCAGTGATACACTTTGTAAAGAGCTGTGATTGATGTGCCTGGCAGACTCTTGCATTTGAGTAGGGACTCATATGTTTGAAAGGCTGAATGATTTTACACTTCATTTTGATTACACTTCATTTACACTCAAGGATATTGAGTAAGATTTTTTTTTTTTTAAAGATTGTATTTATTTATTTGACAGATCACAAGTAGGCAGAGAGGCAAGCAGAGAGGGAGGAAGGGAAGCAGGCTCCCTGCCAAGCAGAGAGCCTGATGCGGGGCTCTGTCCCAGGACCCTGAGATCATGACCCGAGCTGAAGGCAGAGGCTTTAACCCACTGAGCCACGCAGGCGCTCCAAGTTAGATGTCTTGAAATTCTTAAACTGTTTCTGATTTTAGATTAGAAAAACGAGGTTATTTACCTGTGTAACTTTTAGCACCCTTCATCCTTCCAAACGTACTTCTTGTCTGTCATGTAGGAGGCATGATTTGGCACTGATAATACTGGAAAAATAAAAAATTGTCCCCTCTGTCATGGAAAATATAAGTCAGGGAACTACTTGGGGCCTCAGATTCCTCAACTTTAAAATGGAATTACTTCTACTTCGTAGTTTATTGTGGAGATGAAATTTAGATGATAATGTAAAGGACCAGCATTGTACCTGCATATTTTAGGAACACAATGATTGTTCTGCTTCCTTAAAAGATGGTATCAAGATATTTGTTCTGTTTTGAAATTATATTGATGACATGTTCTATGTATTTTTATTTAAATTTATATGTATAAATTAGCTCTACAGGTATATTTCATATATACGTATTTGTATTCTTATCTCTTTGTGGATAGATAGGACTGTAGGACTATAGTATATTGGCCATTTTTATTTAAGAGTGGTTTTATGTAATTAATTTCAAAATGACTACATATATATGTTTATAAATACATTTATGTGTATGTATACCTCTGTGCGTGTGTGTGCGTGTGTGTGTTTGTATACACACACAATGAAGCTAGCTGACCCTTTTCACTGGGGCAATATGAGAAACTATGTGTACCATATACTGAACCTGTATATGTTACATATAGTGAAAAAACAGCAAAATACTGCTGAATAATCAGGAATAGGATTAAAATGATTTGTTAGTCCAGCTGTCCATCCACCTGTCCATCCATCCATTTGTCATCCACCTGGCTCTGTATCTGTATCTAATCTATGGTTATTTATTGTATATTTGTATATATTTATTTAAATGTATGATCTGTACACTGTAATTTTGTTTTATGCTGTTTGTAATATAACAATTATACTTATATAGCTGATTTAATAATTTTATTCATTTTTATTGATAGGATACTAAAGAAGGCAGCATTTTACTCCTTTTTTAAGGGCCCCATATAATTTCTCTGTATTAAAAAGAAGTTGTTCAGAGCCACATTCTTTATATACCTGGGTAAACATGCTAATGTTAAAAGCTGGTTTGGATTCCAAAAGTGCTTGCTTTAAAACAATAGTAATAGACACATCTTGAAAATTTGATTCCTGACCCTGAAATGTTTGTATTAGTATTGGGTGAGAAAGAATATAAGGTATTCGTGTTATAGGTAAGTAACTTTTAACAAAGATGCTTTTGACATTTTGGGCTGGACAGTTCTGTTTTTTTGTAGAGGGCTGTTCAAATACTTCATGTTGTTTAGAATGTCCTTCTTGGGCACTAAATAAAAGGTGTACCTCCACATACAACCCCAAATACCTTTCCCCTGCCAATTTCAAATGCCCAAGGTATTGTGCACCATCGAAACTGCTCTCTTATGGGTAATTATTAAGAAAAAAAAAAGTTTGGCATAAAGCTGTCCAGATGCTTTGAGATTTTATTTTATTTTTTTTTTTTATGCTTTGAGATTTTAGTATATGTGCTGCCGAAGCGAGCACAATGCTTTGAGATTTTAAAAAGAATAGGTAAACATTGTAAATCTAAATTACACTTAAGTAATTGATAGTACATTGATATTAAAGATTTTATTTATTTGTCAGAGAGAGTGAGCACAAGTAGCACAAGTCCTGAGCTGCAGGCAGAGGGAGAAGCAGACTCCCTCCTTGAGGAAGGGGCCCCATGTGGGTCTCAATCCTAGGACCCTGGGCTCGTGACCTGAGCCAAGGGCAGATGCTTAACTGACTGAGCCAGCCAGGCATCCCTGATTGTACATTTTTATTTATTTATTGTAAAATGATGAATTAATATTTTTTGGTTTTATTTTATTTTTATATGTATTGATGGTAAGATTTGCCTTCTTCCTATCTGTAGATCTGTGTCTAGCTTAGATAGCCAACTGAAACCCCTGGAAATATTGATAGGCACTGAATGAGAACAAACATAGCTAGGTAGAATACAGTGTTCTATTGTATGTATTTTTTTCGTTTTTCTTCTATTATGTTTTGACACCTTAAAAAAATCTTTCTGCCTGGGGAGAGACTACTCCTGCTGGGGCTAGCCAATTCTTAGTGATAGCAAAGGACTCAAGCTGGGAGCATGCCTTTGATCTGCAGAATAACTGGTCCAGAGCTGTACCTCCTTTGTGTGGCCTGTATGTTCTAGGAGGCAGTCTTCATTAATCATCCCATGGCTAGGTATAAGATGAGAGAGCACCTTTATAGCCCAAAGACCCTAAATTATTTGCCACCAGAATTATCCAAACTAGTTAATCCTGAACTGTTGATCCTGCCTTGCCTTGGTTTTCTGCAGAAACTCCAATAAAGCCTTTGGCCTAAGCTCCCTTTCCTTTGTTTCTGTCTCCTACCACTTGACCAAAACGTGATACTTCTCCTGTGACTTCTTGTCTGTGAGGATAATAAACTTTGTTTTCCTGAGCCTCTTCTGTTGGCTCTCTTGGCTACCCCTGCCTGCATAAAAGAACACAGAACAAGGTTGTTACATATAGCTTTATGGGATACTATTTCTGAAATAAGTTATTGGAACTTTTGACATAATGAAGTATGCCACAGGAGTTTCAATAACTTCTCTTACTGTTATTTCTTTTCTTCTATATACTTGATAATTCTTCTTGTTTGATTGTTTTTATTTAAGAATTGTTTTATTGAAAATTCTGCAGGCCTTATGATAATATTTCAAATAAATAATGCAGATTTGAGTGCATTCATCATTTTTATGTTTATTGTTTTCTACTGCTACTAACTGAAGCATATTATGGAACTTAACTGAAAAATGTCATAATAAGGAACAGATTGTGATGCTCTAACAAAGAGATCCTGGAATATAGTGGTAGTAAGCAAAATAGGTTTTTGTTGTTTTTTTGTAACACAAAGCAGAGGAAGAGCCCTCAGGCTGTCAGGGCACCTCTGTATCCTCAGTATATGGCTTCAGTCTCTGTATGTAAGGTGATTGCCCCTTTGGTTGCTCTCTCCCAGCCAGCCAGCCAGCCAGCCAGCCAGCAAGAAGAAGAAAATGGGCCAGGAGAACACACATTCATTCTGGAAGTGAGGAGTGACAAACCTTCTGTCCGCTCATATCTGGAACTTAATCACATGGCCACACCAAGCTGGAAGAGAGGCTGGAAATGTCTTTGGCTGGACAGCCGCTTTAAAATTGAGTCATTCTGTTGTTAGAGAATGGAGCGCTTGGATATTGGTGGGCAACTAGTAATTCCTGCTATAAACATATACATAGTTTCTGTAGAACATAGGTTTCTATGTACCCAAGTATCCAAGTACCACCCAATTGGTAAATCCATCTTTTCAAGTTAAGTATAGCACAGAGCTCTACCGGGAATGTCCTTTGAAATGGGATTAAAACATCAGTTAATCGGAACCAGTCTGCTTGGAGCCTTGTCTTAACTGGATTCCCTCTACACATACTACTCCCTCCCTCTCTCTCATACTATACACACAGAGACATACTTAGCGTGTCATTGTTTGTTCATGCATAAAACATTGATTAAAAGCCAACTGTGAGGCTCTGCCTATTAGGTAGCACAGATGCATTGGTAGTATTGTTTCATCATTGGTCATGTTTAAAAATATAATCCTCAGAGTTCAACAAAATCTTTAGTGTTCAAAAAAAAGATGATGCTTTAAGGATTTAGTGCTTTCTGCTCTGACCTAAAAGTAGACATTTGGTCTTATAAATGCCAGTAAAAAAAACAGTACTTGTGGAAGAATTTGGTATATTTTGGTTCTGTGTTCTTTGTATTTAACCTCACTTCTTGTCCCGTGGATATTTTCCCTTGGGTACCTGTGACTAAGCATCACATGCGTAGTTGTGAAAAGATGATAATGTCTTGAGGATATACAAGTTCTCTCTTTGAACTCAAAATAGAATTATTCCTTTGTGAGACATCAGTTCCTCAAGACGAATTCCTCACTGTATCATTAAATGATTTACTCTGTGCTTATTCGAGGAAGCCTGCAATTTCATACATACTGTATTCTGGAAGGTATAGACGAAGGCACTTCTAAATGTTGAACCAAGCGACTGAAAGTGTGTTACTTTTTTTTGGTATGTTTTTTTTTTTTTTTAAATGGGATCAGCCAATAACTTGAATGAATGTACACTCTTACTGAGTCCATCCCTGTTCCAGGTCTCATGGCTTTGGAGCCTTATGCTATTTATTCAGCATGGGTACAAATGCTTTTTTAAAAAAAAAAAAAAAATCTTTTTTTGTCATTCATTTTTATTAAAATAAGGACAAAATTCAGAAGTATGTTATCGTATTTGTATGAACAAACACTGCTGTGGGTATCTGACACTGAAATTGTGCCTAGTTTTTACTGCCACTCATTAGTTACTGTTGAAAAGGAAGTTAGGGGTATTATGGTAGAAAATCCCATGTGTGAACATTGCCTGTTCTCTATTCAGCAGCGATGTGAGCAGGGCCAGTTACTATCACAATTTTAAAAAAAATAAAAGCTATCATTTTTCTGCATTTCTTATTATAGAAATAAGACACGCTTATGGAAACAGTGCTGGAAATTCAGAAATCACCTTCTGTTTTTTATTCTTTTTACTGTACTTGTGAAGGAACATTAATTTATCAAAGATATTAAATCTTTATTTTGGTTTGTTACTTGCCTGTTCTTTGTATATGGTAAATTTTTTTCAACATACAGAGGTTAACATGTTTTATACTTTCCAGTCCGTATAAAATCTTAACTTTTTCTACCTTTTTAAAATGCTCAGAAAGATTCCTATATATTGGGTGATATTTTTTTCTTATAGTCTATATCTACGTTTTAAAATATTCAGAATTTAATGTGGTCATGAGCTAAGATGTTAAAAACCCTTGTTCCCCTCGAAGTAGTTAATTAGTTTGTCAAAGGCAATTATTGAATAATATGTTTCTTTCTTTGTTTCATTTTTAATATATTCCAGATTTTTTCTGTGTTAATGTATTTACTGGATTACATATGAGCTCTAATGAGAACACATTTCATAATAATGAAGGATTTAAAATGAGCCGGTGACTGGAAAATGAATTCTGTATTCCTCTTTTTATATAGATGTTCTGGTTTTGACATTTATTTTAGCATGTGTTTGACTGTTGATTTACTTTCTGAGTTGTGTGCAGTGTTCTAGCAAAATAATAATCTTTCCATTTTTGTAAGTGGGCTAATGTATTTAATAGTATCTCCTTCTACTCTGAATCCAGGTGAAATGCTAAATACGTCATTGAATCGATAAATGTAAGATTTCCTTGTCATTGAGGTTTTTCCTACATAGTTGGATGTGAAGACCTTAACTTTATTTAAAGATATTTTTGAGAGAGAAAGAGAGAGGGAGCATGGTTGTACATGCACAGGAGGGTGAGGGATAGGGAGACTCTCAAGGAGATGGCCCGCTGAGCAAGGAGCCCAGGATCACAGGACCCTCAAGAGTTGGATGCTTACCCAGCTAAGCTACCCTGGTGCCCCCTTTGCTTTATGTAAATAGATTATGTGCTTTTTTTTTCACCCAGAGTAGAGTTTTACATAATATATCTCTAAGAATTAATTATTGATAGAATCTGACATTTTTTCTTTCTTTTTCAAGGGAAAAATTTATATACAAATGAATATGTGGCAATTAAACTGGTAAGTTCATGTTTCTAATTTTCCTGTTTTGTCTTTGATGCCTAGTTTATATTTTACTTACTTTTCTGTTTTCATATCATTTGTAATTTGAATGTTTCCTGGGAAAGTGATACGCATAACTGAATTTTCTGTCATTAAGCTGCAGGCATAAGCACACCCCTCAAGTATGTGATAATGTATAGATGTCTGTGTTTCTATGCCACAAGAACACAGTCCCTTTATTTTGATAGCAATTTAGAATTTCATTTTCGAGTTTTGGCATAGTTTTTCATTTAAAGAACCTGGCACATTGGCATTTTTAACTATTGAAAAACTAGAAAACAAAATTTCCCTTAATGAGTCAAGCATTTGGACAGAAGTGTCCTTAGAATTCAGGATTACATTCTTTGAAAATATATTTCCGGGTAGCTTCCAAAATCTCTCTTTCTACCGATCTTTTCTGTATGGTAATACTGGCTCTTGTTTGACCTTCAGGGATTCAGAAATTATTGATGTGAGTGGAGGATAGCAGGGAAAGCAGTGTCCCATGGGACCTTTCTATAGTTCTGACTGTGCCAACTATGACAGCTGTGAGGTAGCTCTTCTCTGGAGGAATTGGGATCTGGGAATTTTAATGAGACCCAACTTAATTCAGGCACAGCTTTTCTCTCTGGCTTGCCAGCCAGATTTCCCTGAGGTTAAGCACGGCTTAGGTTTTCCAGTCCTCTTGCCATTGTCAATCTTGCTTCTGCCAAAAGAACCACTGTTATTAGGGTAATGTGAGATTAATATATAAGCAGAGACTATCAGAAGAAGAGACAGCAGAGAAATAGAAAAACTTTGGAGATGAGATAGAAAACTTGTACTACTTAATTTTAAGTGTCTCTGTGATTATAGACGAAGTTTGGCTGTAACAAAGCTGTTTATTTTCACTGGGAAGTAAAGATGCACAATAGGGTTCTGATTCCACCAGGAGAGACTGGCTGGCTGACATGTGCTTTGATACTGGCTTTGGCCTTGATGAGTTCACCTTAGTGTTAAGGTCTCTCTTTGGCTTTATGGTAGCAAATCTGGTTAGGTCATCTGTTAAGCTTGTCACTGGCAACTAAAAGTGGATTTACATTAACCATCAGTTCACTCCATCAGTCAAGCTCTCAGAGATATAAATATTTGGAAGAATTAACTTCTAATTTAAAATGAGTTATTTTACTATTATTAACACGCCCAGAATCCCCAAATCATTGTAAACATGTTTGCTTTCTGTAGGCCGATCTGCATAGAAAGCAAGTTAAAGTGACAAGATTCTCTTCTGATCATGAAATCAGAACAAGAGACAATAGTTTGTATGAATCACAGAGGGAGGCTGAGGTTGCAGGCATTGGACAGTGTCTGAAAGGGCATTGCTGACTTTCATGTCTTTGGAATTCTTCCTTTTTCCATGTTCTAGGCCAGCAGCCTAGCATCTAGACATTGTGTGGTGTTGGGAGTGGGGGTGGCATGCAAGGACAGGAATGTGGCGACACCCATACTCGGTGTTACTGCTCTAGGAGCCTGCGGTGAGCAGCTCCCAGGAGCTGTGATGGTGAACTGATAACACTGTGGCACATCAACCACGGTGTCAAAGCAGGAGCCACTCTTCTAGGCTCACCTGCCCTTGTCTGTTTCAGGCATTAATTGGTAACTCTTAGGTCTTGTTATTCTCAGATTCAGGACTTGTTTACCCTGCTTGCTCCACTGATGCCTTAGTAAACGTTTAGTATGTCATCTCTCAGTCTTACATATACACATGTGTGTACAACTCTTTTTAGTTTTATCTTTATTGTGTATCACTATCCCCTTAGTTATTATTTTCCTTTTATTTTTTGAACAATCTCCCTCTGCTCTGATTGCCCCTTTTTATAAAGCACAATGATCAGTGCTACGTATAATAATTGTGGTTTCCTTGTGAAACTGGCAATTTTTTTGGATCTGTGTCTAATACTTTGAGGTTTAAGTATGGTACAGAGGCACCTTTGCCTTGAATTCACCCAAAAAATAGCTTGGTAGGACAGAAAAATAGCTTGGTAGGACAGAAGGCATTTCACTACTGGACCATAGTTTGGTACTTAGTTTATTAAATATTTTTATATACAAAATATGCATAATATTTCCTTATATATTTTCTTATTTATATATATTGTATCTGTTCTTAACATAGAATGTAATTTTGTTCAGGACCTGCCTTAAAAGCAATCACTTGAAAATGTTATGTCTGTCTACCTTCAGTGCCATCTGATTTCTATATTTTGGTTACAAACAGGGGCATTTTGATAACAGTGGTGTTCAGAGAGCAGATCTCAGTGACTACTTTCAGTTCTATCTCTTAGAAAGGTTTTCACGTTTACTTAATGTTATCCTAGTTCAGATTGGTAGTTTGTTTCTGGGTAATTTGTTAATCTGACCTCAACTGGTACCCTCATCTGTTGTTGTTTGCATTCATCTATTAACCTGGTGTTCATGAATAATGAAAATGTCAGCCTATTAGACTTTTGTTATATGGTGGTGTAATAAAATTTTACTGCTAGTAAAGTACTGGAATCAAGCTGAACTGACTCACCTAAATTAGATGGGAGTTTCTGTTTTTATCTAGGGAGTTTTAGTGAGTGAGTGACTTGCGTATTTAATTTCACTGGTGATTGCATCTTTCATTACATTTTATGGTTACATACTTCTGTAGAGTTAAGTGAAGAATTTATAGGTATTATAGCACTCCCTATATGGAAGGCACTGTTTTAAGTCATGTATGTAAATGTGTGTGTGTATTATATATATATATATATAAAATATAAATAATTATATGAATGTGTATATAATGATGAGGATAAAGTTTTATCCCTCTTTAGTAGAGGAGGAAACTGAGAAGTACAAAAAGGTTAAGTAATTTGCCAAAACCACTCAGCTAATACATAGCAAATTTAGGATTCAAACTCAGAACAGTGTAGTTTTAGTGTCTGTTCTTTTAACTATTCTGTCCTGCCTCTTGAGAGCTAAGCTCATTGTTTTCTCTCACAATAATAGTTTATGACTGTAATTGTTCCCCTGGGATTTTACTCATTTCTTATCTGTAGTCTTTGTCATGGGTTAGAGTTTTCATTATGATAGGTCTTAGTATAGATTTGTTTTTAGTTCTTTTGTTTGGGATCCATATTCCTCCTGAGTCTGTGGTTTGTTGTCTTTAATCGGTTCTCGAAGATTCATAGCAATTACTTCTTCAGTTGTTGCTTCTGCTCACTTCTTTTCCTCCTGTCGTCCTGGGACTCTTATCAAATGTCTATTAGACTTTCTCTGTGTATTGTTTAGGTATCGATCTTTTTTTTCCCCTATGTTTTCCATTTTTCTTCTTTCATAATGCATTCATTCCATATAATTTCTTTAGAGGCATTCTACATCATTTTCTAGTTCTATGGACATTCTCCCATATATCTTCCAGTTTCCAAATTCTCTCTTCTGTTGTGTTAACTTGTTGGCAGACTGAGTTTGCAAGTTCACTTATCAAAGTCTTAAAAAAAAATTTGAAGTTCTGTTGGTTTTGTTTAAATATTGTTACATTGTTATAATTTCCTACTGGATCTTATACAGATGGCCTGTTACTTTGTTAAATAGTTTCCTGCTTTCTGCAGATATTTTCACACATTTATTGTTTATTACTTATATCTAGAGTGTCTTTTGCTTTTGTTTATGTTGTTTCTCTCTCTGTGTGTGTAACTCTTAAAAACATTATGTTGAGTGAAAAAAGCCAGCCACACACATATAGAACATAGACTGTGTAATGTCATTTATATGAAATCCAACAAAAGGTGAAACTCATCCAAAGGTGATAAAAGTCAACAAGTAACCACCTCTGAGGGAAGGATGATGGAAATGTTCTAAAGGTTTTTTGAGGTGGTGGTTGTCGGAGTATGTAGTTACCTAAACTCATGGGTGTAATACTTAATGAACTCTATGTTTTATTGTAAGCTATACCCTAGTTAAAATTAAAAAAAAAAAAAAATCTTCCGTCAAAATTTTCTTCTTTGTTCTTTTTCACTTGTTTGTGACTTCCCTTTAACCTAGAACATTTACATGAGAAATACACAGTTCAGAGGTCACTTCTTGGGAATGGGAGAAAAAGAGTAAGGGCCACCATTTTCCCTAGTCATGAATGTTTGGAGTATAATTTTCTTCAGGGTCAAAGAGTCAGACATATAGACTTCCTTATTGCTTCTGCTTCTTCTATTAGCCAGTTGACATTATGTACATTTATGGTATCAGTTGTTTTTACTTAAATGTAAAGTTGATTTTTATTTGGATATAACCTTAGAGAAAGATCCCTACTAGAATATTAAATTATGCAAGAGTTGACACCAAGATTTATAACATTTGGGATTGGGGCCTAGTGATGTTTTAATAATTTAAATATTTTTTTGTTATTTTTGTTTATTTTTTAATTAGGAGCCCATGAAATCCAGAGCACCACAGCTACATTTGGAATACAGATTCTACAAACAGTTAGGATCTGGAGGTAAAGTTGTATATTATTTTTTACATTTGTAATAAAATGAATTGTTATCATAACTCTTTGGTTTCAAAGAATAGTATTTTAAATTTGGTTAAAATGAATCATTTCTTAAGGCTATGCTTATAAGACATTTTTTCACTAGATTCTTAATGTTTTCATTTTATTTTTTTCAAGATTTTATTTATTTATATGTCAGAGAGAGAGAGAGATTGAGAGGCAGGCAGAGGGAAAAGTAGGCTCTCTGCTGAGCAGGGAGCCTGATGGGGGACTTGATTCCAGGACCCTGGAATCATGACCTGAGCTGAAGGCAGTTGCTTAACCAATGGAACCACTCAGGCTTCCCTCCTTTTATTTTAGTTATGACAGTTTTTGGAGCTTACTGCATTGCTGCTAACATAAATAGAGAACATTGTGAAAAAAATTTAGTTTGAGAATACAAGATGCATATGACTTCTATAGCCTTAGCCTTTTTGGTGATATTAATAGTTGTTGAAATGACTTATGACATAGTGGTAGGCTGAAAAATGGCCCCGTAAAAGATATCTATATCATAATTCTTGGAACTTGTAAATTTACCTTTGCAGGTGTGATGAAGTTAAAGATCTTGTGATGGGTAGATTATTCTGGATTATCTGGGTATCCCCTAAACACAGCCACAAATGTCCTTGTAGAAGAGGGGCAGAGGGATATTTTATATACACAGAAAGGAGAAGGCAAAATGGCTACAAACTCAGAGATTAGAGTGATAGAGCATAAGCAGGGAATGCTGGCAGTCACAAAAACCTGGCAGAGACTTCTAGGATTCTCCCTTTGAACCTTCAGAGGAAACCTGCCCCTGCCAACACCTTGATTTAATCTAATGAGACTGATTTCAGATTTCTGGCCTCCAGATCTGTGACAAAATAAATTGCTGTTTTAAGCTACAAGTGTGCAGTAATTTCACTGGCTGTAGGAAGTTAATACAAGTTTTTTTTTTTTTTTTTTTTTTAAAGTACAGGTGTATTTTTATGTAAACTCTAAAATTAGTGAGAATGGATATTTTTGGCCATTAGGGGAAAAAAAAACTAATGAGAAAATTTCTTATAGTATGTTGCATTGCCTTTATGTGGAAGCCTCTCACAGCTATGCTTTTTGTTTACTTCTGTTCTGCTAACTATAATGATTTTTTATGTATAGTTTCTTATCAGGCAGGGATATTTTGTTTCCCCAGGTTTAATAAAATGAAGTTTTTTCATGTGTCTTTTTGTAAGCACATGTTTACATTCTAATTCATAGAATTGAGCACTTAACGCATTATTAATTTGCACATTCTTTTTTTCCTAACAGCATATTTTCCAAATGAGTAGTCACTGTGGGGACAATAAATTGACATTTTGTATTAATGTTTTTTTATCACTGTAGGCTTCTTATAATGCACATCTAAGTCTGATACAGAGAGCCCTCCAGGAGTTACCAAAATTATCATTGACAACGGAGATTTAAAGGATAGGGGGGATAAAACCAATTATATGTGAAACCATACATGTTAGTTAGAAGTAGCAAGTGATAGAAAGCCCTAAGAAACTAAGCGGGGGGGGGGGGGGAGTTTATTGGCTCATCTCCTGGAAATTCAGAGAAGGGACCTATTTATAAGACATTATTGTATCCAGGATTTCAAATACTGCCATGAGGGACATTCTTGAATTTGTTTTTGTGCTCTGCCTCTGCCTGTGTGTGTGTGTGTGTGTGTGTGTGTGTGTGTGTGTGTAAGCTTCATTTTCTGGTTGGCCCTTTTTATGAGATGGCAGAGGTGGTTACCAGTAGCTGAACTTAGCAATTATAATGTCATTTCTTCTCTTTTCTTTTCAAATATTTTATTTATTTGACAGAGAGAGAAAGAGAGAGGGAGAGAGTGAGCACAAGCAGGGCGAGTGGCAGAGGGAGAGAGAGAAGCAGGCTTCCTGCTGAGCAGGGAACCTGGTGTGGGGCTCCATCTCAGGACTTCAGAATCATGACCTGAGCCAAAGGCAGTGCTTAAATGAGTGAGCCACCCAGGCATCCCTATAATGTCATGTCTTTCCTGAAAATTCTTACGAAAGTTCTAGGACCAAATCTTACTGTATTATTTTATGTCCCATGACTTTCCTTGTTTTAATTGCTATGAATTTGATTGCCCAAACTTAGATCTTTTGCTCATCTCAGTAGCTACCTGAAACTCCGGGACTGAGAATGGGGTAAGGGGGTTGCCTATTGGGAAACTTGGGTGTTAATCAGAAGGAAGATTGGATGCTGGGGAGATTTAAAGACAACAGATCGATCATTACTTACATAGTAAAGCTATCATTTAAAAAAATCGGGTTGAACACTTTAATTAGAGAAGAATGATTAAGTCAGTTTAGAATTTAGGGAGTCATTGAATTAAACACCAAAGGTACACTTAATTTTATTATTGTATTCTTTGCCTTTTTTAACTTTAAAGATTATGTCAAAGTAATAATAGAAATGAAGCCTACATCTTTATCCTTGAATGCCATAGGGCTGCAAGTGACAGGCCCACTATGTAGAAGACACTCCATATATATCAGGTGCTCCCCTGTGCTCCGTGGCATAGCATTTATGCAGATCGAAATATGAATGGTATTGCATGAAGCTTACAAGTGTGAATAGTTTTGAGTATTTTATGTGAATCATGTCAATTTAGGTTACTACATAGTTTTTAAAATCAATCATGAATTTTGAAAACATTTGTGAGTGCCCATGTGATCTTTGTAGAAAAACAAGACATTAGTTGTTTGGGGAGGGACTGATGATTTTTAAAATAGTTTGATTTTGGGGATGCTGGCTGGCTCAGTCAGTAGAGCATGTGATTCTTGATCTCAGGGTCCTGAGTTCAAGCCCCACAGTCAGAATGGAGCCTGCTTAAAAAAAAAAAAAAAAAGTTGGATTTTGGAATTGATACTTGAAAGGATTATATTTTCAGAGTACTCTTAGTCATAAATTAGCCATTCAAAGTAATTTAGCTTTAACTCTCTTAATGTACTTTAAGTTTTATTTAAGTAGCAGTTTGCTTTTTAGTGTTCCCTTTAAAAATAGGTATAATTAATCAATATCTACACTATTTAACAAACCCCTAAAACTCAACCATGAGAAAACAGGCAGTCTACTTCAAAAGTGGGCAAAGGGCTTGAGTAGACATTTCTCCAAATATATGCAGATGGCCAATAAGCACCTGAAAGGATGCTCAGTATTAGTAATCGTTAGGGAAATGTAAATCAAAACTACAGAGATACACCACTTCATACCCATAGAATGGCTGTTTTCAGACAAATGAAAAACAGCAGCAACCAGTCAACAAGTGTTGGTATGAATGTGGAAAAATAAAAATCTTTGTGCATTGCTGAAGGGACGGTAAAATGGTACAGCTGCAGATGTTGTGGAAAACAGTTCCTCCAAAAAAAAAAAAAAAATTAAACCTATAATTACCATTTGATGCAGCAGTCCCACTTATTATCTGTACCAAAGATTGTCTGCTAACAGATATCTATACAGCTATGTTCAGAGCAGCATGATTTGCAGTAAAAGGTGGAAACAACCTAAGTGTCCATCAGGGGTTGAACGGATAAACAATGTGATCTATACATACAATGAAATATTCAGTTTTTTTCCTTAAGATTTTATTTATTTATTTATTTAGAGAGCACGAGAAAGGGGAGGGTCAGAGGGAGAAGCAAACTCCCTGCTGAACGGGGAGCCAGATGTAGGGCTTGATCCTGGGACTCCAGACGCTTAACTGACTGAGCCACCCAGGCACCCTGAAATATTACTCAGTCTTAAAAAAGAAGGGAAGTTTGGACTCATGGTACAATATAGGTTAGCCTTAGGGACATTTTGCTAACTAAAATAAGCCTGTCACAGTAGGACAAATACTATGTGATTCCACTTATTTGAGGTACCGAGAATAGTCAGATTCACAGAGACAGGCAGCAGAATGGTGGTTGCCAGGGCCTGAGGAGATAGGGAAATGGGAAAATATTATTTCATGGGTATGGAGTTTCAGTATGAAGTGATGAAAGCGTTCTGGAGCTGAATTGTGGTGACGGGTGCACAGCAGTGTGAATATTTGCCTCGTGCCACTGATCTGCACGCTGACAGATGATTAAAATAACACATTTTCTATCATGTATACCTGACCACAGTAAAAACAAAAATTAAGAGATGGATTTATTTTGGGGTGCCTGGGTGGCTCAGTCATTAAGCGTCTGACTTTGGCTCAGGTCATGATCCCAGAGTTCTGGGATCAAGTCCCTCCTTGGGCTTCTTGCTCAGCGGGAGTCTGCTTCTCCCTCTCCCTCTGCCTGCCGCTCTGCCAACTTGTGCTCTATCAAGTAAATAAATTAAAAAAAAAATTTTAAAAACAGATTTGAAAAGATTTAGAATTATTTATTGAGCTGTCTCTGAAAACATACATAATTTCTCTAGTTCTGCCTGTGTGGGTTTTGAACCTCCAGTAAATCCTTAGGTCTCTTATTCTCTTTCTCTAACTGCCCAGAGAATATCCCTGTTTTCTCTCTCATTTGTTCATTGAATCTGTTCTTTACAGACAGTGGGACTGTACAGCTTTAGGACAGTGGGACTGTACAGCTTTAGTGCATAGATGAGGGATTGCCTCTCTCTTACTACTTAGCTTTCCATAGGATTATAATATTGTGTTTGATACCATGATCACTTTCTGTGATGGTGAAGATGTGATATATTGAATAGTCTTGTTTTGTCATATCCAGTCAGCATTTACTGAGTCAAAGAAGATCTAGGTTTGGGAGTCATCAGCACATAGGTGGTTTTTAAGACGAAGGGAATGGCTGAGATCCCCCAGGAGAGAGTAGAGTGTGACTTGAGAAGAGGAACAGAGATAAAACCACACTGACCTCGGCGTTGGGCACGAATGACTTTGTCAGTAACAGGAATCACGACAGCAGTAGTTACACAAGTGAAGGGATGTTTTGTGAGGAAAAATAAACAAGAAG